TGTAATTAAATGCTACCATTTAATAACTGAGTGTCCCTTAGAAAGAGGCAGGAAGGTTCACCTGAACAAGTATGGCTGTCACCTAGCTTCCAAGGCATATATAATGTTTGTTGGTCTATTTCTGCTCTGGTTTGGCAAATGGATAGTAAGTCATATGTTTGCATTTCTGAATACAGTTGTAAATACTGATTTCTGCTGTATTTCTCTTTTTCAGGGATGAAGAAAGCCCTTATGCTGCTTCCCTTTATCATAGTTAGTGACTGGCAGATGTCATTCTAACCCGGATCAAAACATGGCTGGACCCTAAAGAATCCATTGGCTGGGGCTGCAGAAGCAACGCCGCTTCTGGACTCCCATAGTGCACATCTTCAGGCCACAGTTAAGTAGACCCAACCGCAGCTGCACTGAATCGATCAGTTCCTCTGGCTTCCTGTAGTTAAATCTTACCATGGCATGATAGCAAACCTGTACTCTAAAGCCTGTCACTTTTGTAGATGGTGGTAGTTTTAGACTGGCTTTTGTAGCTACAAAAAGCATCAAAGACTTTATATATTTAAGCCAAAAGCAATGTTTATTTCCTGATGAGATCCTAAATGTATGGAAAACATGGTGGCTGTAAAGTGATAATGCATTTGCTGTGTGTTTATAACTCGAGTGCTATAATATATATTTCAATATCACATATTCTGTACTACTGTAAAGAACCAAATTTTGTCTGCTATTTTGTAAAAGTAAAATACAAATGTCTGGATGAGAAAATAAACTATGTTTTTACATAGGAGCCTTCGTTTCTTTTTTTCAAAATGGGGAAATAAAGTTGATTTTGTTTTGTTTGTTTGTTTGTTTTTTTGTTGTTCAGAAGATAGGGATTCATGTAGTGCAGGCTGACCTTGGGCTCATTATGTATATGAGAATGACCTTGAACTCCTGTCTCTACCTTCCAAGTGTGGGGCAACTACACCAGTATGAGACACACCGAATTCTGTTTAGGTTTTATCTCTGTGCCACTTCAGACACATTGGCTTCACGGTGTGTCACCCCTGCCCATTTGAATTACAAGTTAGGTTCTTGTTTCATTTAATTCATCTTTCCTTTATGATGTGTGTGGGTTACAGCATCGAACTTTAAGCTATGTACCACTGACAACTGATAGATTTTTAGCCTTGACATCTATTCAGCTACTAGTTTAAAAGCATTTAATGAGGTTAAATGAGTCTGTAGGTTTCCAAAGAAATTTCCCATAGTCACCCCTCTCCAACATCCCCAGAAGAGCCTGATGTCTGTGGAATGAAAGGGACTTGTTTCCTTGCTTTCATTGCCCCCTTTCTTTATCATTTTTTCCCTCCCTGTTTTTCCCTCTGTCTTTTGCTCATCAGGAGCAGGTGTCTGGGTATTAGTGCAATAGGGCCTGCAATACCAGGTCATTGTCATTGTTACTTTTCAGTTGCTATGCTAAGACACCGTGGCCAAGACAACTTCTAGAAAAAAGAGCCTTTGGGGCTTACAGTTTGAGATGGTTGAGTCCATGGCCCTTATGATAGGGAACACGGCAGCAAGCAGGCTGGCAAGCATGGTGCTGAATCAGTGCTGAGAGCTTACATGTTGATCCACAATCATGAGAACTAACTGGGAATAGCCCTGGCTTCTGAAACCTCAGAGTCCTCCCCTAGTGACACAGCTGCTCCATCAAGGCCACACTTCCCTAATCCTCTCAAAACAGTTCCACCAACTGGTGACCACAGACTCAAATATATGAGCCTCTGGGGACCATTCTCATTCAAACCACCACAATCACAGACCCAGCCTTGGGAGGGCCAGTAGGTGCCATGATGGGGAGTTAAGTGGGTTTTTTGTCTTGCTGATTTGTTTGCTTCTCACTTAACATAATTCCTTGTGTCTTGTTCTTTGTTTCTCATAGCACCCTTGAAATAAGATGTGACACTCCCCCCCCCGTGTGTGTGTGTGTGTGTGTGTGTGTGTGTGTGTGTGCACATGCATGGTGCATGCCCAGAAGTTGACATCAGGTGTCTTCCTCTATTTCCATTTTATTTATTGACTCAGGCTCTCTCCCTCCTCATCAATTCCAGCTAATCTAGCTATCCGGTTTGCCCCAGGTATCGCCGTCTCTGCCTCCTGAGTGCTGGCATTACAGGTGGACAACATACTTGCTCAGCTTTTATGTGGGTTTTGGGGATCTGAACTCTTCTTGGTCCTCATATTTGCTTAGCAAGAGATCTATCCACTGAGCCACCCTTCCAGCCCTCCATGCCCTTTACTGTGTGCAAGAGATCTGAAGTCAGTTCCCCATGCTTGCACATGAGACTGTCTCCCAGCTCAGAATTGGGGTATTCTCTGTGATTTGCTGTTTTGTTTGTTGTTACGGAAGCTGTGGAGGTTTAATTGAAAATGGAGATAACAGAAGAGGTCCCAGCAAGCTACTGTGGATGTAGTAATAATAAAAAATATAGTTGTGTTCAGCAGAAAAGTATTTAATTTGGCAAAGACTGATCATGTCATAGGAAGCTAAAGTTTGAAATTATGACCATAGGCTCAAATATATATTTCTCAAGTGCTTTTTTTTTTTTCCTGTCAGCAATTTCTATCTAAACCATCTCTTCAAACTTCTAGTAATTTTGTAGCCACAGTTTAACTGTACTGGACTACAGGGATTTTTTTTTTTTTTTTTTTTTTGTTCGTTTGTTTTGACAGGATCGTGTTATCTATCCCAGGCTGACTTAGAATTTACTATGTAGCCCTGCTTGGCCTCAAGTGCACAGCTTCCTGAGGTATGCCACACCAGGCGAGGCTGCCTGGAATTGGAAGTTGTTAGGTATCCCAGGCAGCCTTCAATTCTCAGTCCTGCCTCACTCTCTCAGAGTGAGATAGCAAGCTTTTGTCACCACAGCTGGCCATTTCTGTTTGTTTTTCTTCTGTGACAGGGTCTTGCTGCGGGCTCTGTCTTACCTCAAACGTGAGTTTCTCCTGCTTCTGCCTCATGGACAGAGTACTGAGGCACCAGGTCATAGGATCACTGTAAACAGGACCTGGATCTTCAAACCTGGCTTCTGCCCCAGTGTCGCCACCTGTTGACACCATGAACTTGAGCTTATCCAGTGTCCTGGGTCCCTTCATGAAAGAATGTTTTTGTTTATAAAATAGGATCACGTGTGCCCCTTCTGTCTTGGTTACCAACAGGCACTAATGAAGACTACAATAAAAGAAACAAATTTCTTACTTAAAAAATCCCGCATAGTTACTTAGTGAGAGGATAAGATGATCCAGCCTGAACCCATTTCCTATCTGAGGTGGAGTCAGGTGTGTGACATGGCTAAAGCAGAGTCAGTTGAGTTAACACAGATGATTCATTAAACAGTTGGAGTCATTGTGCTTTGGCAAATGTAGTTTGGGCAAAGGTGTTTTGAACTCTATCTCCACACTCACTCTGGCTGGGTACTGGCTTCTCTAGAACACAAGGAGAGACTAGTGTGTGTTCCTGGCCGGCTTTGAACTGTCTTCTATGTATGAAAATCCAGTGTTACGGTGAGTGCGGGTGTGGCTTCAGAACAGCAGCATAGGCACCAGCAGGTCACCAGAAGCAAGGGCACCTAATTCACAAAGCTTGTTATGTTGATGGATCCAGGCAAGCATATATAACATATTTATGCAATTATTTTACTCTGGGTAATGTATTCCAATGCCATGTTTGATGTGGGAGCCCCAGCATCCTAAGAGGATCACTGGGCTATGTGGTTGCTTTTAGTTTTATGTTTGTGGCGGTGGCAAACAAGTTGCAGGAACCTAAAGTTCATAACTTTTTCCTCCTGGTGATTTTTTTACCTCTGTTTCTGCCATGCTGCCTGGTTCTTTGCCCTCTGGCAAGATAACATGACTTTTGTCAAATACAGTTTAGATGCCTGGAATGGTGCATGAATGTTGACTTTGCTTTTGAACAGTGTGTGACCTCCTTTGGCTTCTTGACTATAAATATTCATCTCTATTGCGTGAGCAATAAGTTTCTGAAAACTCAAAAAAGTAAGAAAAAGGGACATACAAGTAGGGAGTAAATTGTCGATAAATTCAGCTCTCTCTCTCTCTCTCTCTCTCTCTCTCTCTCTGTGTGTGTGTGTGTGTGTGTGTGTTTGTATATATATGTAAGTCATTTATGTGGTCAAGTGTGTGATTGTGTGCATATATGTGTTCATATAGGTGTGCATTTATGTGTATGTATGTGACACTGAGGATTAAATCCAGGCCTTTATGCAAGCATTCTGCCACTGCTATACTCCTGGTCTACACTCCCAGGTTATACCCCACGGCTATACTCCAGGTCTATACCCCCATTACTATATTCCCAGTCTATACTCCAGGTCTATACCCCCCACTGCTATACTCCAGGTCTATACCCCCAGGCTATACCCCCACTGCTATACCCCCAATGCTATGAAGTAGCATTGAAAATAATTTTATGGTTGGGAGCCACCACATGTATTGTATTAAAGGGACTGTATTAAAGGGTTGAAGTATTAGGAAAACTGAAAACCACTGGGCTAGAAGGAGGAAAGGGAGGGAAGAAAATGATATAATTGTATTTCAATTAAAACCTTAAAAAAAAGAAGCTGCTATTTCTCAGAGCATCCAGGCTATGAAGAAATGTGGGTTTATTTCAATGCCCAACAGAGAACTGCTAGTGGAAACATCATGTAACAAACATCCGAGGTGCTCAGGTACCCAGCATGCCTTGAAACAGGACTTCTCAGATCTTCAGGGAGCTTAAGACAGTGGAGGAAGGTTCAGATTTATGTTCAACCCATTAGAGCAGCACATCTCTGATTATAAAGTGTAAATCCAAGAGGAAATGCAGATTCTAGATACAAAAACCTCAGCTGATGTACACTTTACTTTTCATAATGTATTTATGGCAAGAGAGCTCTATTTTACCCATTTCTAAGGGGTTAACTACTATAAATTCAGCACATTCTAATACTCCTGGGCCGGTAAATCTTTAACTGCTGAATTAGATTTTAAGCTATATTGTTTTTGCTGGAACAGTTGAGGGCTCAGGCTGCCTGCCGTTTTCACAGGCTGCTGTAAATGCGCTTGATGGCCTTGGCTTCTTCCTTATCGAGGATGCCTTTCTCCACATAAGCGTCAGCTTGCTGGTTGATAAAGTCCCTCATCTTTGAAAGGTCATAATCTAGAAAATATTATTAGAGTACTGTAAGCAAAGATTGGCAAAAAAGAAAACCCATCACAGTGTTTATCATCAAGAGACATTTTGTGTACCAATTGAATTTCTAACCTTGACCGTCACAATGGAAGACATGGTGTTCTGGGTTTGGGCCGTCCTGTGCTGCTTAAAGTGTTTTTGGGGTACCATATGATCTCTCTTTTACAACCCAGGGGAATATACTAGTCTACTTGACCAACAAGGAAAATGGGTTTATAGACCAGGGGTTTGCACATTTTAAGTGTATGTAGTGCCCAGGGCTTTTGGGGTGTCCTAGATTCACACTCAGGTCTGGGGTGAGGACCCAGGCTTTGCATTTTAAATAATTCCCAGAAGGTGCTGCTGATGAATCAGGAATGGTCCCAAACCTCCTGCTTTTGCATATGTAGCAAAATTATGTTTAAAAGCAGCTCTTCCAACATCCTGAGCTTATGATCCCAGCGTACTCACTTATTGGTATGTTAACAATGTTTTGTTTGCTTGTTTGCTTTGTTTTTCCAAGTTAAGAAATTTTGTGATTATTTCATGGCTGTTTGAGTTGTGTACATGGAGCAAAACATCAAACCATTCTTGTTTCACACGTCCATCCTTAAAAATCTAGGCAAACCATCAAACCATGCACTTAAAATAAAGAGGTCCCCAGGGAAGACCATGCCATCTTTCTAGAGACCCCTACACCATTCCCACAGCTCCTTGGTCTTCAAGTACTAATTTTTGTTTCTTTGTTTGAAACAGGGTTTTACTCTGCAGTTCATACTGGTTTAGAACTCACTTTGAAGACCAGAAATTTGAACTTGAAGTAATTCTCCTGCCTCAGCCTTCTGAGTCTTAAATTACATGCATTTGACACCATACCCACTTT